GAAGCCTTGGTAAAGTAAGTAAATTACTTACATGCTGATCATAGAAAGGAGTGTTCCAAGTATAAAACACTCCACATACAAAATCCATGTGGCAGGTATGAAACTGTCTTGAATGAATAGAGTCAATGTCTTTTATTTAATTTATTTATTTATTTAAAATAAAGCCTATTTTCAATATCAGTGTTAAAAGTTGGAATGTTATCTCAAGAATATTTCCACTTAACTTTGGTCATTCAAAAAGCTACTGCTTTGCATACTAGCTGCTATTAAACTCTAGGATTATATGATCTTACATGAAGTGTAAGACTCCCTGCTGATCCAATGGTTAGGACTCTGTGCTCCCACTGTAAGGGGCATAGGTTCAATCCCTGGTCCTGGAGCTAAGATCTACATGCTGTGTAGCCAAAAACAATAAATAAATAAGGTAGGATGAATGTTTGCTTATTTGGGGGGAAATGCAAGAAAAAGGAATCATCCCTTTTATGAGTTTAAGAAAGTGTGATGGCCACATACCTTAGATCATTTAGATCCAATCATTGTAGAGATAGAAATTATACTACCTAACATCACAAAGTCATTTTTACTCTATATATTGCAATTTCATATTTTAAAATGAGAGGATGCTTGGCACATTGCCACTTGGTTTATTCATATAAAAAATGCAGAAACAGCTCATCTTGAGATTGTAAATTTCTGAATATTTGTGAATTTCTTTTCAACATTTATATACTTTCATCAGTATAAGTTAAAATTCTAGTGATAAGGTATTTGAGATGTAGTGGGATAAAATAATGGATCATAACTCGAAAGGATAGTGAGTGTTTTGAAACCAGTAGCAAAATGCCAAGTTAAAAATGCATTTAAAGGCAGAAAATATTGTTATATATCATCACATATGTGCTCTATATATACACACATATATATTTATAAATAATACTATATACTGTGTATTATACTAAATATATACCAAACCCAAGAATTCTTAACATCTCTGCAACACAGGCAGCTGACCTCATATTTAAAATGCTGGTGAGCATGGAGAATGACAATCAATGCTTCCAGAACTCAATAAGCCAATTTTCTTTCACAATGGTCTACATTTTCACCAGGCCATGAAATTTCTTTTTCTAGGTCGATTTACTGCAAGAGTCAATTTGCTATGAGAGTCAATTTAGCATAGATTTTTAAATTTTTAGTCCTGAGTATCTATAATGACTATTTATTTCAAATGTTTAGATATTTTACTTAAATTTAATATTTTAAAAGAGAAATATAAATATTTCTATTAACCATGTGAAATCCCAGTAAATTTACCCATGATTGGAAAAATTTGACACAATAATTTTCCTACATTTCTTTTAAAAACTTTTGCCACAATTAAAATTTGTTTGCTTTTTTTTCAGCTTTGAGGGATAATTGGCAATTTTGTAATATTTAAAATGTACATTGTGATGATTTAATATATGTATATATTGTGAAAAGATTGGCCCATCTAATTATCATATCCATCACCTTAAAACTGCTGACAAGGTTCTTTTTTCCTAGTGGAATAAAAAAGTCATAAACATCACATTTGTAATAATAACATTTATTTAAAATTGGTGAAAAAATTCCTAAAGTACAAGCTAACTGTGATTTCCTCTGTGAAACATATGTGAAAAAATCTATAATGTCTAGGGTACTTACTATTGCAGAAGGATGATACTGTAATCCTATTCTATGGACAGTACAAGCAAAGATAACTTTCCTTCCCAAGGCGAGGAAAACATATGTGCTATCTTTGTATAACTTTTAAAATGAGTATTGAGTGAATGACTTAAATTTAAAACACTAACTTCATTTAAGAATTTACTTCAAAACACAAAATACTGAAAAATATTTTTGCTATGAAGACAAGGAGAATACAAGGTTTAAAAAATTTTAAAAAATGCAGAAATTTTCAAATAGGCTTAGTATTTTAGACTATTTCATATAAGGAAGCATGGATAGATGCCATCTTTTGGCAATTTATAAAACTAATTCATTGTCTGATGATTCATAAAAGGTCAGTTAATCTGTACATTTATTTGAGACACTGATAATATATGTAGACAATAATAGCCTTAAAACTATGAAATGAAGATATTTAAAGATATTTAATTGCATTCTAAGAAATGTTTTAAGTTTTAGAAATGAATTTACTCATACACTGACAACTCTATAACGTATAGACTCGTCTCATTTTAAAACATTGAAAGATCTTACAACCATTGAGCATTTGATTTTTCTTTAACTGATTAATAGAATCTAAGAATAGACTATTTAGAAAATAGAGAATTATCATTCTTTTGTATATGAAGATGATGTTATTTATCCAAATGACCAGAGCTCATGCTTTGATTTTTTATTTTTTTGCCCCCCTTGGAACTGAAATAAACACATGCTTACTTCCAATCCCCTAGGTGGGTGGGCTAAGAGAACTCTGAATCACATTGAAATTTATGGCTCTCATCACAATCAAGCTTGTAGCCATTTTTAAACTTATCTAATTAAAGTAATCTGTTCCTTCTATACATAACGAGTTACTTTTGTGTCATGGTGACAAGGAGACTCCCAGGGTTCCTGAAAATAACAATTTAACAAAAATAATCTGGACTTTTTAGTCTTCTCCATTTCATACAACACCCATGAAATTGTCCCTTGGGTCCAGTGTGCAGTAAAACCCTGTTAAAGACTAGAATGTCTCAAACTTGGTGGACATATAAATCACCCTGGACTCTTGTTATAATGAAGAATCTGACTCTGTGGGTAGGGTAGAAGTTGGGACTCTGTAGTTCTAACAAATTCCCAAGTGATGGTGGTGATGTTGGTCTGACATCACATACTGCATAGCAAACCTGTAGACTATTTCACTATAGAATCTTAATTTCTCTTGTAGTTGCCAACAAGAACAAAAACATGATTTGCTTCTGAGTATTGATCACAAGTGTTGAGCTACTTATGTTCCATTGGGACATTTTCTTGAATACAGCAATCTTAGAATAATGATTTTTTTTTTAACTCAGTGAGACTTTAGAAGTCATCAAATACAGCTCAGTCACACTATCATTGAGGAAACTGAGGGTCAGGGAAGTTGAGTACATGCCCACAGTCATATAGCTGGCAGCAGGTTGTGCACCAGAATGGAGGACCCCTAACTACTGTGTCAATAAAGAAACCCTAACTTCTTTGGCAGTTCCATTTTTATTTATACTTTCTGACACAAAACAAAGCATGAGTCAATAACGATTAGAATTTCACCTTTTGATGCTCACAATAGTTTAAATGATAGCAGTATCCTTGGACTTGCTGACTTTCCTAACAGCTAAAACTCACAGTAGGCAACTGTCTCTTACAATAACAAGAGTATTCACATATCCTCTTTCTTCTAGAGTCCACTTGCAGTTTTATTGTGGACATTTTGCTCCTTAGTTTTGAGAACCTGGGGAGAAAGGTGGACATAGAAATGAATGGGTCATTAGTTAAAAGGCAAAGGTGAAGTCGTAAAAGGTTGTGGCAAAGTAAGCAACAAATGAGAAAGAGCTAAGAGTCTCAATATTGATCCTGCCTCTCATCTTTCCCTCTGTCTCCTTGCTTTCAGGTTTCTATTGTGTAGTCTCTTGAACAAAGCAGACTATTTATGGTGTGACTGATTTAACACTACTGAACTAGTCTATCATCTGCTAATTTGGTCCAATTAAAAACTGGTCATAGGGAAAAGCCTGGAATTAAGCTCATTTGGAAACACAACTTCTGATTAATTTCTGTCCTGTTCATTTATATCTCCTCCTCTCAAGGGCACATCCAGGATGTTGATTTATAGAGATGGTTCTTTCCAGATTCCTGAATGTTCTTTCCATGACCACCTTTGGTTAGATCCTTGAAAAAAGCACAGTTATGCTTTTTCTCCCTTCCTTGAGGCTACAATTAAGGCATATATGAAGGATTGCCTAAGATTTTGTGCTATCCTGAATTACAGAAATCCCACTGAACCGCGCTAAAGTCTCCATTTATAAAGCATTTACAGATGCTTGGCCCAGTAGCAATTCAGGGCCGTATAACTTAACTTCAAGAGTTAAGTTCTATTATTACCCCTGTTTTACTGATGAGGCTTCAGATTTAAATGTTCAAGTAAAATCATCAAACATTGTGAAGCAAGAAGTGACAGCTATGGGATTTGAACCTAGATCTACCTGATCTCAGTACTGACAGAAAGGATACTGTCACCCGCTAGCCTCTCTTGAGATTTTATGTCTAGATTAAGTCAAATTCTCAGGAGCAACAATAAAAAAAAATAATTTCTTCTACCCCTAACTCGTTTTTTTCCTTGTCACACAAGTTCTTGTAGGAAGGTAGGTGTTCTGTTCCCTATACTTAGCCTCTCCCACGTCCTCTTAAATCTTTCCCTTTTGCTGCTGGGAGTTTGAGAGAGCTACTGCAGCTGGTGAGTGGGCAGGTGCAGCCACCATCTGCTCTAGGAGTCCAAATACGCACAAGAACTTCGCACCCAAGACCTGTCCCAGGCACCACCACGGGTTCCAGAACCTGCTGGGGACACGGCAAGCCCCGCCCCCTCGCGGTGGCGATTGGCTGAACCCTTCCCGAATGCTAGGCACTTATTAATGAAGGCGCTGTCTCAGAAAGTTAGGCTGAGACTCTCCAAGGGAGGTGAGACCCGCCGGGGTGTGTGAATGGGGGATTCAGTTCTTCCTGCCCGAAGGGTCCTTGAGAAGCCTGTTTGTTTTTCCCGGCGCCTGTCTCCACCCTTCCCTTTCTCTCATTGGCTGGGCCTGGTGGGCGGGTGTGTCCCCATTGGTCGGGGGGCGGTGTCTGTCCCTGGCCATGGTGGGGGCGGGGCCTCCACCGTGCTGAGCTTGCCCTTGTGTCTGCTGCTCTGTAGAGCTGCCGCCGCCGCTGCCGCCGCCGCCGCTGCTGCAGCCCGAGCATCCGGGAGCAGCCGCCGCCGCCGCTGTCGCCTCTAGCGCCGCTTCCACCGCTGCCACCTCCCCTCCCAGGACCCCGAGACACCTCAAGCGCGAGCGGCGGCTGCTGCTTGCTTGCTCCCCTTCTTCCCCGCCTTTCCCTTGCGTGACCTACCCACTCCTTACAGCCCTCGTCTGCACCTTCTCCGACACCCCGGCATCCCTGCACCACCTGCTCGGACAGCCCCGGGTGCGCGCCGGGAGGAAGGCAAGCTCCGAACCCGTGCTTGGCAGAAGGACTGTCGCGGCTGCACCACCAGCAAGAGGAGGAGGAAAAGAAACTATTTTGCCCAGCGAAACCTCATTCTGCGGGTGCTTCGCCGTTGCCGCTTCTGCTGCTGCCATCTGATCCGCGTCCGCAGGTTCGAGCACCGCAGCGGCGAGGACCCTGGGTCCGGCGGGCTCCGCGAAGGAGACGCCGGCGGAGCTCCGCACTCTGGTGCCCTGCTCACCAGCATCTCTTTGCCCCCCTCGTTCATTCTCAACCCTTTAGAAAAGGACCATGATTTGGAAACGCAGTGCCGTTCTCCGCTTCTACAGTGTCTGCGGGCTCCTGCTACAAGGTAATCCCCGCCCCGCCGCGGGGAGCATCAACTTCACGCCCATTCCCCATCATCCTCACTCCACCCCAGATTTCCACTCTCCCCCTTACAGTCCCCCAGTCCCCGGCGATTTCCACCCCCTCCCCCTACTTCCCGGTGCGGCAGGGGGCAGTGGCAGTTTGCTCCAACCCCTCGAATCTCTGGCGCTGTCTCAACCCTGCTGTCTCGGCAGTCAGTCTCTTATGGGCACCTTTCGGCTTTTCATTCACCTGAGCTTCCTGAAGAATTAAAAGACCCAAAGCCACTTTATCAACAAACTGACTTTTTATTATTCAGCCCGTGTGGTTTTCTTTTTCATTTTTTCGAAGCCAAGAATTATATGCACCCTGGCAGTTACTTTAGTGCTAAGGGATTTTAGCTTAGATTCCCTACCTTTCCATCCCGCTCTCTGACGCTTCTTTTCCGTAATTAATATCATCCTTTCAGGTGAAATGTAAGAACCCCTGTGACCGCAGCGGAGGGAAACCGCACAAAACACTGTTATTATGCAAATCGCTGGGCTTGGATGCAGACTGGCTAGCGAACTGGGGTGCACTTTTCGCCAGATCCTTGCTTTTGAAGGAGGGAGGAGGGGGCTGTGTGCAGAGGGAGGACGATGATGATTATGAAATACATGGCAATGTATGGAGTAAAAGTGCCTGGGAAGAGCACGCTTTGGGTGGTAGTGGAGGCAGAGGCGGCATGCCAGGACTGAGTGGGCAGGGGCTGTAAAGCAGAAGATTGTTGCTTTGAAGAGAGTGGTGTAGGGATGTGGCTTGAGTGTGAGATACAGGGAGGATGGATGTGAAATTATGGTCCATATGATTTTTTTTTTTTTAAAGCTAGATGACTCTTGATTTCTTCGTAGATCTTTGCCCGCCTTTAACCTCTCTGTCATCGTTTGTGTATTTGTAGGAGAGATAAGTTGATCAAATGTATTTGTCCCTGGGTAAAAGGAATCTGAAAGTAAGACATATAGAACCACAGGCGTGCAAAACCCAATCGGCCTTTGGAGGATTTAAATGAGGTCAATGAACCATCTTTCAGCAAGTTCTTGGAATGCATCCTGTTTCCTAACCTCCTCCGGGATATAGACCAGGACCGTATTTTATTTATGCATATTTATGAATGTGAAAGACGAGATAGTGGGCAGAATTTTCCTGAATTAGCTAACCAAACTTACAGAGGTATTTCTTGGAATATTTCGGGGTAATTTTGTGTATTTTATGTTTGATGTAAATTTTCGATCTGTCGTGTGCCAGAATCCCCGAGAAGGCAGACAGCCTGTTCTTCCTGCTTAACGCCGCCTGGTCCCATTCCCCAGCGCCTACATACACCCCCACCCTCTGGTCCCATTCCCCAGCGCTTACACCCCCACCCTCGCGCAAGTAATCCGGTGGCTGACACATTACTTGGGTTTCTAATCCGTCCTGAAACATCCTCCTAGAGACCCCACTTCACCTCTCAGTAACTTGCATTTCTCAGCTCTGCTGTGTGTGTGTGTGTGTGTGTGTGGGTGTGTGTGTGTGCGCGCGCGCGCATGAGCGCACCACGCCGGGTAAGGGGAGTGTGATGTGGGGAAATCAGTTAATTTGGTGATTGTGATGAACATTCGACACCGCTGGATGTGTTTTCCCTGCCAATCTGTGTATGCTGGCCCCGGCACGTCACTGCACACACTACTGGGCTGGTGCAAGATTATTTATTATAGAGCATGTGGTCAATGGACTGCACTTGGGGGTCGCCTCCTCTCTGCCTTCAACATTTCCCTGTGAATTGTCTATTCAGTGCACTGCAAAATAACTGTCTGCTGGTGCCTCTCTCTCCCTCTCTCTCTCTCTTTCTCTCCCTTAGCCTGAAGGAGGATTTACTCTTTCTCTACTCAGAGAGATTCCTTCAGCTGCATTCATTTTTATTAAGGGCATGGGTGTCTTTTATTAAGTATGTACACCAAGTGTTAAGACAGTGCTGCTTTTCACAGCAGACTGGGGGAGAAGGGTGGAAGGGGTGTGGGTATACCAGAGCAAACGCGCCACTGCAGCCAGCAGGCCCAAATAAATAAATAAGTGTCCTATCACAGCAACCAGGCAAAGACAACCAGCTCAAGGATATATGTATACTTCTGAGCATCTTAGATGACTGTATTAATACACCAAAGGAGAGAGAGAATAGGATTTAAGGGGGGAAAAAAATAACTGGAAGTGGGAGGAGGCCCAAAGCCCCACTGGATTGTCTTATGTTTATGGCTGCCTCACATTTATCAAACACTGCTCCACAGACACATCACACTTTGTTGATATTGTCAGTCCCTGCTCGAACAAATTGCTTGTGCGTTCCTTGTCTTGGTCTTGGCTGAAAATGTCACTTCAGGGTCCAGGTTTATGTTTCTCCCACAACTCTACTGTTTTATTAGGACTTGGTGAGGTTGTAGAATGAAAGCTTGATTTCCTGGACATAGATTAAATATTTAGCAGGTCTTTCCTATGTGCAGGGAAGGAGAGGTAGCGGGGCAGTGAGCAACTGATTTTGGCCCGGGGTAGTCTGCTCTGCCTGTTAGTAGTTATGACTTGGCAAATACTATAGGCAGTCTGTCTACAGCTTCTTATTTTTAGCATTATCAGCACTATAGTGGTATTGTCACTTAAGTCATACTAATCAATGTATTTATCCTTTGTATCATTATCCCCTTTCTTGCAGTATGTATCATTTTAGACAGGAAGACTGAATTTAACACATCTTTCCTGTGGCTTCACTGTTTTACCTTGTCACCATCTTTCTTTTTTTTTTTTTTTTAACTTTTCCTGGGAAGCAAACTCAGTCTTTTGGCTTAATATGTAGCGTGGTAAGTCAGTGGTAAGATTCAAGATGATAAAATTAGTTTTTGTAAAAAAAAGGCTTAAATAGTTCTATTCTACAACATCTACTAGTTCATCCTCAACAAGTCTGTAGGCAATGAATAGTTAGAGAGAAAATAAACATGTTTCTGACCAAAGTATAACTTGAAATATGGACTACTTAGATAACAAAATTTGATTCAGTGTTAAGCTATACAGCACCCTTTTTAAAATTTTCTTCTGTCCAATACAGAGGAAAACACTGGGCAAGGACAGGGGACACATTAGAGAGAAAAATGTCTTTAGAATGAGGAGTGTAAAAATTTGCCACCTGTAACTAAGACCTCTTCTTGTCTACAGAGTAGATTCAGTTCAATTGCTGACCCTCTTTGTAGCTGTGCTCGTTTCTATGCCTGAAGAGACATTGGAAAGATGGAGACGCTCTTGTTTAGCACCGGAAACAATCCGAGAAGGGACAAAAAGGAAAGAAGGGCAAAATAGACATGCATAGAGAGATTCTGATTTTGTTGAGAACTTTATTTCCTTTTTCAGTGTTGGTCGTATACAAAAAAACACCCAGTACTATTACTGGGGTTTTAGGGGTTGTGGATGTGTGTGTTTCGCTGTGGGACATTGTAGTAAGTAATTTGTTGTGTGTAAAAAGAAAGATCCTCAAGTTAAAGGTCCATTCGACATGCATATTACTTGCTTCAGTATGTGTTGTGCACCTCCCCTTACCTTTTAGAAAACATGTTGTAATGCAAAATATACATATAAACTAAATAAAATACTGATAACTTAATATTTCCTAAAAGCGTGTCTCTCTGGCTTCTTTAATTCTACCTTAGTCATGATGAGCTCATCTTTTATGCTGAATGCAGTTCCTGAGATGCAGCTCACTCCTCCCTTTTTTGATTAACTCCTTTTTTTTTGGAAACTTTGAAAAGTAGGTTTTAGACATGAGTCAATAACTATGACTTAAACAAACACCAGACACTTAGTGATTAAGAAAATCTCTTTGCAAATATGAGGAGTTCCTAGACTAATTTAGTATCAAGATATGGAAGCTTATTTCGTTGTCTTTTCCCTTGTGTCTACAACTAGTAGAACTCTGGTAACACAGGTAACAAAGGTAAGCATCAACTGAGATAGTCTCTTCCTGCATTTTTCACAAGAAGATCAGATACGTGAAAAATCTTTTTCCCAGATTTAACTAGTGAGATAGTCATTTTTCTTAAAAAAAAAAACTTATTTAAATCACTTAAACAGAAAATAGTCATGCAATAATGTTGGAAGACATCCTAAGCATGCATTTTAAAATGGCCTGAAATCAACATCTAATGATAATCAATTTTCTTTTAAAAATAAAGAGTCTATGGGGTATAAAATGATTGAGAGAAGTAAAATTTACCTATTGTGAAGGATTTGGGGTACATTTGTAATATAACATAGACACATCGTATTATTATTTTATTTGATCATGTTGACATGCATTCTATGAGATTTATTGATAGAGAGTCCTTGTTTTAATAGACTTCATTAAACCTCCTTGGCAAAATCGCCCATTGTGTAGCAACTGGCTGAGTAGGTAAGGAAGCATCGAGAAGGGAAATTACAAATCAAGGAAGTGGGACTCACAAACTGAAGTCAGAAGTCCTTTGTGGGATTGTCAGTTACAGGTTTGTTTACCCTCCTAAAAACAACTCTACTGTCTTGTTTATATTAAGCTTCTTGAGGGCAAGCCCTGAGCTTTACTTATTCTCAATTTAGTAAATGCATAATAAATAGTTTTGGATTGAATGATAGTTATATCTTAGTTAGGTATGATGTAGTTAAGTGGTATCTTTTCATAACACATCGGCACTCATACTTTGTTAAATTATATTTATATTATACATATGTATGAGTTAATTTTAACATTTTGTAGGTCTTATTGGTTTAGGAAACAGTTTTCGTATAGAAAATTATCATAGTGATAGTTCGTGATATACATCTTTAAATGAATGCAATTTGATCAGTTGTTCTTTCACATGAGATTTCCCTACCCATTTTTATCTTTTCCATAATGAAAAAATCCAGATATTTGCATTAGATCACAAACTCAATTCATGGGGGGAAAAAAAGAGAAGACATGATTTACATTTACTGATTTAACCTAAAATATTTAAAAGGACAAGTTCACTGCCAACATTTTATTTGAAAATGTCAAACGTTTTTGGAGTGTAGTTCTGTAGTATCAAAAAACAACATCTTCTGCAAATTCCTTGTGTAAAGAGGTGGGTGAGGATTAACCTGGAGCTGTGGCAGCTGAAGCCCCCTGCTGTGTGATGATGCAAATGGCATCTCAGGCCTAACGTTCTGCAGCAGCAGGCAGAACGCATGCAGGAAAGCAGTCATGTGGAGTGACTGAAATAGGAAGTCTTTTCATATTCCATAGCTTGTAATGGACCTGGACCATCCTTCAACTCTTCATGACCAGAAATAATCCAAAGAGTATTTCTAATCACATGAGCTCATGGCAAAGCTAAAGAGAGAATATATAATTTGTTTAGAGATTAATGTAATAAATAAATCCTAACAAAATTATCAACATTTTCATCAAATGAATTGTGCAAACTTGCAACTATCTTGCAAACTATCAGGACCACAGTTCAGTTTAATGAAAATAAATAGCAAAGTTAAAACAGAATTCTTATGCATTCTCAGGCTTCTAAGAATTCTAATTCTTATGCAGTTATTTACATGTGTTGGACCTAATGAATGTTGAGCTGACAAATACTGTTATCTTTCTCTTCCTTTAGCGAGTAAGGAGTTAGTCGCTTTTTTTTTTCTTTTCCTTATTAGAGCATTTCCTGTTAGGGGAGAATAAAGTAGTCTTAAAAGAAATAGGAATTAATTGTTCAATGTATGTTTTTACCATTTATTTAGTGCCATAAATTAGAATTTTTGTTAACATTAAACCAGTAGAGAATATATCCTTTCTAAAAAATTTTATATATCACACAGGCAAAAGCATCAAATATGTTCCTTAGTAAAAGCAAGAGTTATGGGACAATTATTATGGGCAGGCTATGAGAGATGCCTATCTGATGACAATAACTAGTGTAGCATTGTTTATCTTGATTCCATTTGCTATCAAACAAAATAATTGAGCATATTATGCATATTGATTTTTATCCTAGAAATAAGTCCAGTTGGTCCTGTTTATGTGTTCAATGAGTTTCTTTAGATGATATGAAATAGTTTTATCTTAGTAATATGTAATACATATATATATATGTTAGGAAACTAAATATTCTGTTTAATTAGGTATGAGTTAAATATTAATGCCAAAATCAGAGATGTAATTATTGAGAAAGGAAATATTCCTCAATCATTTATCTCTATATATGCACATATGTGCAAGCCTAAAATGTACAGTTATTTTTAGGTCTGAAGAACATCTTTATAATTTTGTGTGTAATTAGAGTTTGGAGCACTCAGGGGTGAAGTGTGAGGAAAAAGGAAAAGTTTATTTTGTTTTTGCTTATTTCTTTTACCCTTTTCTGAAGGTTAAAAAAGGAAGGTATTTTTTGAACTCATTTTTTTAGGCTGCAGCAGTGATTAACTTTTCCACTTAAAAACACACACGCAAGGTTCACAGTTTCTGAATTTGCAATAGAGCCGAGCATTTATTCTGGATCTTCTTTGTGCTTAGGAAACTGAGTGATGAGAACCTACTGCTACCTGAATAGAGAGGCAGGGCTGAGGTTGTAAGGAGATCTGCCTTGGAAAGGGCCGGCCATTAATTATTCACATTCTATTTCAGAAGTCTTTGAAGTAAATATTAAGACAGTTATTATTCACCATTGGTGATAACTCTTTCTGAGTCAGCAGATCGTTTTCATTTGAATATTGAAATTATCTTTCAGCCATTTGAATGCTGAAGGGGATGTCCCTGTTAGGATGTCCCTAGGAGTTATTCTAGGGGTTAGATACTGACTGTCACTAGTGATTGTTTAGAAAACAAGAATAAACACTCATTTGCTTTGAGGAACAAAAATCCTTAAAACTAAGTGTAATCATATAGTGTAAATAACTTCGCATACTGATAGAAAAGTCTTTTTATAGGTTAAATACCCCCCTAGTTTTATAGATTTGGTGATGGTTTATTAATGATAACGGTGCATTGTTTATCTAAAGTCATCTTTGAGAACCGAGTAAGAAAGCACCTTTCCTGAGAAGGATGTGCTGCCAACTGCTAAGTGTATAACTGTTATATTGATTCAGTGTAATTTATAAAGCCAATTAATTTGTTCTTGTAAAGGAATATTTTTAGCTTCTTTGCTAAAATTGTTTGCATTTAAAGATGGAAGTGCCTCCCTTAATGCTTACTCAAACATCAAAGCCTGAAATTTATGGTGCGTAAAATATGTTTCTACTTTTGTAATAAATTCATATTTTACGTTAGCTTGTCCTATATAGCCCCAGGAGAAAATGTCCTGATACCTTTACTTCCGTTCCTTCTTATACTTTATATGTCTTCTGCTATTAATTTTAAGTAGTAGACAGGCTGAAATGAGGGGTGATTAGAATATTTGTATTTAAAAGCAAATAAAATGCACAGTAAGCTTCTGATTTGTCATTCGCTTATTGCAATCTATATTTTATGGACCAAAGTCTGAATAGTAACTCAGCTTCCTTTACACTCTCTAGGAATATAATATACCCCACTCCGCACTGTTCTATCAACCTGAAAGACCCATTAAAATAAATTCACAGGGAGTGAAGAACACTTAAAAGGAATCTTACCAAATCTATGTACTGAATACGTCCAGATTGGGTGTTTTTTCTTTCAACCTCCAAGGCTTGGATCCCAGTGTTTTAGCAAGGATAAAACACATACAATGTGCTTTTAGTTGTTCTTGTTATTGTTATTATTGCATTTTGTGAGCATTCAGCCTCCTTAGTCTCATAATAAAAATGGCAAAAATAGGAGGGAAGGAATGTGAGTCAGCCAGCCAAACACACAGAAACGCCTGGCAAAGCCGACTAAATTAGCATATGCTAGGCTGAGTATTTCCCTCTTGTTACATAACCCTTTTCTAATAGGAAATCACTTCTCCTGCTTAACCCTTTCAGGAGGTTTGGGATTCTCCCACTGTTATATATTTATTTTGCTTCATTTATTTTCTCAAGAATTATGTAAATCATCTATTGAAGGGCTTTTATGCCAAATTCTCCCCCCCCCCCTTCAGTCTTTCTGTATACAAATGTTCCATTCTGTGCCCAACTTCAGGATTCAAGAATCAACTTTTCTATAGCCTTCACTGAGAGGATCTAATTAGCATTTTAGGCTCTCTTTACTCATGTGCAGCTTTCTTTAGAAAATGTATTAGTTCTATGAGGTTTCCCTAAGGATTCATAATACTCTAGTTTGTTACATGCACTGTGATATTCACTGTGCCTTAATTATGTGTGTGTCCTCATTTCAAAGCCTTTTCAGGGATCATGTGGATAGAACAGGGTCTGGCTGTAAGTTCACTGTCATGTATTAATGTGTAGGTGGTATTCAGAGGATGTTTCTGAAGGCAATCTTATAT